CCTAGCAAGTTGATTCTAACTCATAGTGACGCTGTAGAACAGAGTAGAACTGCCTCCTATATTTTCCAAGGCTGTAAATATTTCCAAAACAGATGGCTACATCTTTTCCCCCAGAATGGCTGGTGGGTTCCAACCACCAACTTTTTGGTTAATAGTCGAGTATTTTAACTACAGTGACACCAGTGCTCCTAGAGCCCAGAATAACGTATAATTAATTCTATGACTAAATGTCCAGTAATAATTTTAGGTACAGTTAACCCTCAGTATCTGAGGTTCTGCATCCATAAGTTCAAGCAAACGTGGATGGAAAGTAAGCCATAGAGTCAGTTCCATCTCATGGCGACCCTATAGGACAGAACAGAAACCCTGCGGCACAGGGTTTTCAAGGCTGTGAATCCTTATGAAAGAGGACTGCCTCATCTTTATCATGTGGAGTGACTGGTTGGTTTGAACCACTGACCTTTTGGTTAGTGGCCCAATGCTTTAACCACAGCACCACCAGAGCTCCTGAGGATAGAAAAAAATCCCCCCTCCTAAAAAAAAGAAAAAAAAATTAAATGGTTAAAGCAATCCATCAAAGGCTAGTCAAAACCAAACCAAACCAAACTCACTGCCATCCAGTCGTTTCCTGCTTACAGTGACCCAAAGTAGAACTGCCCCACTGGATTTCCAAGGCTATGAATCTTTAAGGAAGCAGACTTTGTCATCTCTCTCCTACAGAACAGCTGGTGGGTTCAAACCACTGAACTTTCAGTTAGCAACCAAATGCTTTATCCACTGAGCTTACAGTGCTATTCAGATATCATTTACATTGTGCTGTTGCTGTTGTTATTATGTGTCGTCGAGTCGGACTCAACTCATAGTGTCTCCTCCTTGTGTTTCTGAGGCAGTATCACTACAGAAGTAGATTGCCCAACCTTCCTTCCGAGGAATGGCTGATGGGTTTGAACCACCAGCCTTGTGGTTAGCAGTCAAGTGCCTTAAGCACTACGCTACCAGAGCACTAGGTATCATAAATAATCTAGAGATGATTTAAAGTATATGGAAGTATGTGCATAGGTTATGTGCAAATACTATGCCATTTTATATGAGGCACTTGAGCATTCTCAAATCTGAATATCTGTAGTGATCCTGGAATTAATTTTTGCAGATACCAAGGGTTGAATGTATATAGCAAAAAGCATTTGCCAGATTTTGTGTACCAGGTACCAGATGTGGTGCTTTGCTTTTGTAACCACATCTGAAACAACAGCTACAGTTGAAGTCACCACCTGATTAAGTTTATGATAATCCACTATTTTCCAAGATCCATTTGTCTTCCTCATAGATCAAATAAGCAAGATGAATGAGGATTTGGTAGACATCAACACCCCTGCATCTTAGCTGTTCATGGTGTAAGTGATTGCTGTAACTCTTCAGGAATACAGAACAGATTTTTAATTTACTATTTAGGTAGAAGCTTGTTGTTGTTGTTGTGTTCCATTGAGTCAGATCTGATTCATAGTGACACCTCCTTGGGTTTCTGAGGTGGTATCACTATGGAAGTAGATTGCCCAACCTTCTTTCTGAGGAGTGGCTGGTGGGTTTGAACTGCTAGCCTTCTGGTTAGCAGTCAAATGCCTTAGGCATTAGGCTACCAGAGCTCCCATAGGCAGAGGCGGTTTAAGTTATTTCCACTTGGCTTTTCCTGCCACAATGTTCCTCACTTCATGGGTCAGGAAGACACTGTGGGGATTCTGCCAGTTGCTGAATATATCTATTCCAATTATACATTCTTAAACTGAGGAAATAACCACAGGGTGTTTTTAGTGACCCACTGTGCCTACAGTGAGATGGACCTGAGCTAAAACGCTATTGGTTACTTGACCTCCATAAGTAGCGAAGCATAGCAGCATTTCGGGTCTCCTAGATGTAATGCCATTTTAGAATAAGTGTTCCATAATTCACAAAATGTCTAAATATTTCCTCTTTCCTAATGCATGTGCCCCTGTGGCTATAAGTCACTTTGTGAAAGGGTTGGACACTATAACTTGTTGTCTGTTTAACAGGGTCCTTCCTTAAAGAGATGCAACAACCCTCACTCAAAAGGCTTTAGCTCTGTGAACTGGCTCAAATCTAGGAATTAATTGAGGGGCTATGACCCTGCTTTGGTCAGTGACAGTATTCTTCTATTCATGAGGACTAGAGCTTTTCTGCTTATACAGATCAAATACGAGTTTAGAAGGCTGGCCATCTATTTCAGCTTTAATGTTACTGTATTCATCTATCCAATAACAAGTTTCTACAAGTCATGTTGAGAGCTCTGGTAGCATAGTGCCTAAGACACTTGACTGCTAACCAGAAGGCTGGCAGTTCGAACCCACCAACCACTGCTTGGAAGGAAGACTGGGCAATCTACTTCTGTAGTGATACTGCCTGGGAAACCCAAGGAGGGGTTGCTATGAGTCGGGTCTGACACGACAGCATATAACAACAACTACACAAGTCATGCTATCCTGTTATTTTGATGCTCCTGACTGTTTTGATAACCATGTGCACCTTGCTTTGCAGAGTAAGTGTTACCACTTTGCCCTTGATAGTCCAGAATCCTATCTTCCTCATTGTGTTTAGGGTTCCAGTTGAATGGTAGCAGTTCCCACTATGATTTCTAACCTACAGAGAAGAGCCACCTCAGAGTTCTTCAAGGATGCTGACTGCCTACCAGGAATTCATTTTCACAGCTGTGCCACCTCATACAAGTGATCTTAAATATGCAAATGAGGTCAGTAGATTCATAGTCCTTCCCAGGCCTGGAGGGAGCGTATTGTCAAACATATTCAGAGTAAGGAAGTGTCAACATCCTTTTTTTTACAATATGGGAAAGATGGCCATTTTGCACAAGACAGAACCTTCAACTACTAATATGGAAGCTAGGTAGGCTACATACACATATTAGAATTTAGCTACAGCCTTAGTATAAGAGTCAAATTGACCTTAATTTTATTGTGTTCCATGAGATAGGTGCTCCTAAGAACTTTAGAGTTCAGTTACAGAAAAATAAAGAAAATGCCATTCTGTCCCACCTGAGTTTGTGGTAATCGAGGTTTCTACCTGCTATCAAGTGCTTCTGCAACTCTCATGCACTCCCCATAGGAGCTAATCTACAATGAGTTGTTGTTGTTATGTGCCGTTGAGTCGGACTCAACTCATAGCGACCCCTCCTTGGGTTTCTGAGGTGGTATCACTACGGAAGTAGATTGCCCAACCTTCCTTCCGAGAAGTGGCTAGTAGGTTTGAAACACCAGCCTTCTGATTAGCAGTCAGGTGCCTTAGGCACTACACTACCAGAGCTCCATCTACAATGAGTAGCATGATGTAAAAAGCCTGTGCACAATTTTGAAGCTTGCCCTGTTCTTTACCACAACACTTTCTGCTCCTCCTTCTCAATCTGGCTCTAAAATTATCTCCTGGGTGATTTCTTCTCATGCGTTGCCAGTCATGTGACTAGATCCTATGTCTTTTATCACTTTCCACTCTACACAAGTATTTATTTCAGCTTGAAGCCAATGTGTTCTTATATTTTTATGTCTGTCTCTCGTATTAGATGGAGACCACACTAAAAGCAGAGGATATTTCCTGATTATATTTTTGCATTTTCAGGAACTTGATGAAAATAGATTAATAATAATTAAATAAATGTAAATTAGATAGATGGAATGAATGAACTACAGTTGGATTATGGATGTCTTGGGAGTACCCATGTCACATGAATCTTCTGACTATTGAAACACCTTGGCCTTGTTACTGATCTGAAAGAGAGTTCTTTCAAGTGTCACTCTGAAGGGTAACATATGTTGTTACATATGTGTTCTGTATGTTGTTTATACATACAGAAGATCTCTTCTATTTTCAGTTTGCTGAAAACTGTTCTTTTTAATAATGAATACATGTTGAGTTTCAGCAAATTATTTTTTCTGTATTTCATCAGGAAGTCATAAAATTTTAATGTTTTGATCTCATACTATAGTGAATCATGATTAGTTTTGCAATGTTAAAGTAAACTTCCATTTTCTGTTCAGAATTAATTCATGATGCATCTTTTAAAATATATTCTTAGATTCGATTTATAAAGATTTGTTTACAATTTTTGCATCTTTGTTTATCAGTGACAGTGTCATCTCATTTTACTTTAAATATTGTCCTTAGCAGTTTTAATATGGAGGCTATTCTACATCAAATATTAATTTCAAGTGGTGATTTTTAAATATAAGTTTCTTGTCACTGTTTACACCTTGAACTTGGGTGTTTTGTGACATGGGATCTGTTGTGTGTCCTGGGGGTTTTGGTTATTAACTCAACAGCTTTGCATTGGGGGCAGGGTAATAAAAGGTAACATGTAATAACAAATTACATCACATCTCACTAACTTTTACAAAGAGGAATATCACAGACATCAAGATCAGGTAATAAAAGATGTTTAATAAATTGGAAAGCAAGAAATCTTTTGTGGCAGTAGCAATGTGCAACAGATTTGCTTGAGGTTAAATTCCTAGTGGGTTTCAAAATTTTTCCAAATTATATTCTGAAGGACAAGAAAAAACTCACTGCCTTAAGGTCAATTTTGACTCATAGCGACCCCATAAGACAGAATAGAACTCTCCCGTGGGTTTTTTTTCAAGGCTGTAAGTCTTTAAGGAATCCTGCACAGCGGCTGGTAGGTGTGAAGAGCCAAGTTTTCAGTTAGCATCCAAGCACTTTAACCACTGTGCCATCAGGGTTCCTTCAATAAAAACAGTTATAATAATTACAGTAACATTTATGAAACATTTAAGTGGAATTTCTGATTATTTCATATGGTCAGAGGTTAAAATTAAAAATGGAAGTATGACAGATCATGGGAGATACTTGTGGTAATTTTAGCATGGATATCCACTTTAAGGGATCTTTTCCTTCCCTTCAGGAAATGTGACGCTGCTCTGCTTTATGACTGGCAAGAAGTACTACGTGTAAACAGCAGCAGCATGAGCAGCAGTGGGTCCCCACCTGCCCCCATGCAGCTGTGCTATGAGAATGTAAACGGATCCTGTGTGAAATCTCCCTACTCGCCTGGACCCCGGGTGGTTTTGTTCGCGGTGTTCGGCTGTGGGGCTGTGCTGGCCGTGTTCGGAAACCTCCTGGTGATGATTTCAGTCTTGCACTTCAAGCAGCTACATTCTCCAACCAGTTTTCTCATTGCCTCCCTGGCCTGTGCTGACTCTTTGGTGGGAGTGATTGTGATGCCCTTCAGCATGGTCAGGTCCGTGGAGAGCTGCTGGTACTTTGGGGAGAGGTTTTGCACTTTCCACACGTGCTGTGATGTGGCCTTTTGCTACTCTTCTCTCTTCCACTTGTGCTTCATCGCCATCGACAGGTACATTGCTGTTACTGACCCTCTGGTCTATCCTACCAAGTTCACAGTGTCCGTGTCAGGAATATGCATCAGCCTCTCCTGGGTCCTGCCCATGGTGTACAGTGGTGCTGTGTTCTTCACAGGTGGGAATGACGAGGGGCTGGAGGAATTAGTAAGTGCCCTCAACTGCATAGGTGGTTGTCAGACTGTTGTAAATCAAAATTGGGTGTTGATAGATTTTCTGTTATTCTTCATACCTAGTCTTGTTATGATAATTCTTTACAGTAAGATTTTTCTTGTGGCTAGAAAACAGGCCAAAAAGATTGAAAATACTAGTAGCAAAACAGAATCATCCTCTGGAACTTACAACGTGAGAGTAGCTAAGAGAGAGAGAAAGGCAGCTAAAACCCTTGGGGTCACAATGCTAGCATTTTTGATTTTATGGTTACCATTCATGATTGACTCATTTTTTGATTCTTTTTTGGGCTTTCTGACCCCTTCCAAGGTTTATGAAATATTTTGCTGGTTTGCTTATTATAACTCTGCTCTAAATCCTTTGATTTATGGTTTATTTTACCGTTGGTTTAGGAGAGCAATAAAACTTATTATAACTGGTCGAGTATTAAACAACAGTTCCTCAACCATAAATTTATTTTCTGAAGAAGCCTAAATTTGAAATTGAGGGATTTGTAGATATGTTGTAGACATGAAATACGGTTCACGAACATTATGTATTAAACTGGGGAGAAGGGATGTTACCTCATTTGGAGTAGTACAAGTTTTATTAGTTTAGTTATCTGGTGTAGTAAGTATTATTAATTATTTGTTAAAATGGTATTTATTAAATGATGTAATACAGGTTGACATATTCTGGTTTCCTCACACTTGCCTTTTTCATGCTTGGTCAGGTGTTAATTATTTTCCTCTTCCTGGCCTGCCTTTCATGATTACCCTTCTGCCACTTTCAAAGGCTTCCTGCTTTCATAGTCCCAGTTAAGGTCTTGTGCTCTATGTCTCTGCAGATCGAGTTTCCTTTGCCTTCATTTTCCAGCAGCTTGTTTTCAGGGCTTGTTCTTTCTGTGGCTCCAGGAGTTTGCGGTACTTTATTCATCAACCCATTTGGACTCAGTATAGACCTGGTATTTTAGAGTGCTGGCATTAACCATGAGCAGAGAGGGCAATTTCTACAATAGTGATTGTCTCGTACCTCAAAGTTTTTTATGCTCCCTGCCAGTCATGATGTATGTCAATTTACTGTCTTTTTAAAGTAAGCTACCAGAGTTTCCAGAAAACTTCCATAGTTTTCTGCAAACTACCCAAAGTTTATAAACTGTTGATGATAAAAATAACTAAGCATTTTAAATTATGGGAAAAGAATGAATTATTCAAGAAATGGTGATGGGACATATAACATTTTGGAAAAAAAAATGTTGTTAAGCATCTTGCCTTGCATCATTCATAAAACCAAAAGTGATTATTTCAGATGTTAAAAAATAACAAGAAATGATTTCTTTTATAATTTGTCATTAGTGGAATCCTGACAGAAAACCCAGATAAAGTCATGACACTCAGTTTAAGATTTTAAACTTTAGAAGAAAGCAAAATCAAGTTCATACAGTAAAAACAAAGGTTTGGATTGATTTATTTAAAGGTTTAGGGACATGGTTTCATAGGACATCCAAGTTAATTGGCCACAAAGTGTTTAGTGCTTTTGTGCTAGCTCCTAGTCTGCTGTACAGTGCCTGGGCTCTTAAAAGCTTGTAAGTGGCCACGCTAGGCACAACAATTGGTCTCTATTCGTCTGGAGCCGCAGAGGAAGAAGAAGAGTCAGGAATAGGAGGAGGATATGGAATGTGTGGTAATCGCCTTCATGAACAATTGTCTCCTTTGCCAAGAGACTAGAAGAACTGGATGGTGCCTGGCTACCGTTATTGAACATTTTGATCAAAGGTTCCACAGAAGGTTCCTGATCAAAGGGGGAAAACTCAAAACAGAAGTTCAAATTCTCATGGATTCTAGTCTTTCTGGCATCATAGTGAGTGGGTAAAGCCCTGAAACTATTGTGCTAAAATTAACTTTAAATCTTAAGCCCAAAATATCCCCTGAATTCTTATCCAAAATGAATAATAATTTAGCTTAACTAGTAAAATGGTCTGCCTTGATCATTGAGCTCTTTTAAGAGTTTTAAATCTTTTAATCTTTTAAGGGATCAACAACAACTCAAAAGATTAGATAGGAATGTTAGGCAGCAGTGAGTTTATGCTACTCAGAAAAGGAGAGGGAGAATGGTTCACAACTCAAAGAACGTAATCAATGTCACTACATTGTACAGGCAGAAACTGTTGAATTGGTGGAGGTTTTGCTATGTATATTCTCAATAAGGAAGGCTGGGCAATCCTACTTCCGTAGTGATACTGCCTCAGAAACCCAAGGAGGGTTCGCTATGAGTCAGGGGTGACTCAACAGCAAACAACAACAACAACATTCTCAATAACAAAATAAATAAAATTTAGAGAATAAAAAGAACAAAATTGAAAAAAAGACAAACTTGTAATGACTATAGGTAGGATATTTGACGAAGTAGCTGGAAAAATATAAATATATTTGTGTACATTGTTTTATTTTGACAAAACAGTAAACAAAAAGAAACAAGAAAAATAAAAAAAAGAAGCCCTGAGAAACTAGTTGCTGAAAAATGAAAGTAAAATAAAACCAATCTAGAGAAACATAAAACAATACAAAGACAAACACTCCACTAGATAAATGAAGAGGTAATATTAGAAAGAAAATACACAAATGGCTAACAAATACATTAAAATGCCAGGCTTACAAATAACCAAAAAAATGCTAATAAAAACATGATAGAATTTAACACATCAAGCTGGCATATACTAAAAGGGTCAATAATACAATAAGGATAATAATACCAAAACCAAAAACCAAACTCACTGGCGTCCAGTCGATCCCAACTCATAGCCACCTTGGGTTTCCAAGGCAGTATTTCTACGGAAGTAGAATGCCCAATCTTCCTTCCAAGGAGTAGCTGGTGGTGATTTTTTTTTTTAAAGGATAATAATAAGGATCTATAAATTAGGGGGCTCTGGTGGCATAGTGCCTAAGGCACTTGACTGCTAACCAAAAGGCTGGTGGTTCAAACCCACCAGCCACTCCTGGGAAGGAAGACTGGGCAATCTACTTCTGTACAGATACCACCTTGGAGACCCAAGGAGGGGTCGCCATGAGTCAGAATGGACTAGAAGGCAGTGAGTTTGTTTTTTTTTTTAAATAAATTAATTAGAGAATGGACGTCAACACATTCATGAAATTGAGCACATTCAGAAATATATAATTTAGTACTCCTTTTCTGAAGGGAAAAACATTTACAACATATATGTCACTTGACACTGTGGTTTAATTTTTAGCAAGTAATCCTAAAAAAGAACCTGGTAAGTAAGCAACATGACTAGGATATTCACTGCATAACTCTTCATTATTAGCTGGAAAAAACTTAGATAAATATGGGATAAGTTAAATAAATTATGCTCAACCTATGTAACAGAACACAATGAAACCATTAAATAGTGCTAAGAAGTGCTGCATGAATTGAAATGTAAACACAACCACAATATATTTTTAATGAAAACAAAACAAGCAAAAAATAAACAAACAAAAAAACACCTTTAACCCACATTGCAAAATAGAGTATGTAATACGGCCCATGTGTATGTATATGTTGTTGTTGTTGCTATGTGCCGTCGAGTCGGACCCGACTCATAGCAATCCCTCCTTGGGTTTCCAAGGCAGTATCACTACGGAAGTAGATTGTCCCATCTTCCTTCCAAGGAGTGGCTGGTGGGTTTGAACCACCAGCCTTCTGGTTAGCAGTCAAGTGCCTTAGCCACTATGCAACCAGAGCTCCCTTGTATGTATATAGGTATATATATTTTTTAAATTTAATTGTATATATAACAGACAGTGTGGTGTCTATGTGTGTATGATTTATTTTGTAATGTATATATTCTCTATCATTTGAATGTCTTTGTGGTAAAATGGATATATTACAATTTATGTTGCTATTTTATATCTCTGTTCTGATATTGATGTTGCTATTTTATATATCTCTGTTCTGATTTTAGTTTGAAATTAGGATTATCTCTGGTTTGCTTGTTTTAATTTAAGGAGAATATTTTTGGATTATATATACAAAACCAAACCCACTGCCATCGAGTTGATTCCAACTCATAGTGACCCCCATTGGGTTTCCGAGGCAAAAAATCTTTACAAAAGTAGATTGCCTAGTCTTCTTTCCACAGAGTGGCTGGTGGGTTTGAACCACCAGCCTTCTAGTTAGCAGCCAAATGCCTTAGGCACTACGCCACCAGAACTCCTTAAGTACTGTACACCCTCAGCAACATTTTGTATGGTCACTCTTAAATTTTAGCCATCCTGCTGAGTGTGTAGTGATATTTCATTGTGGTTTTAATTTGCGTTTCCCTGATAACTAAAGATGGTGGGCATCTTTTCATATGTTTATTGGTCACCTGAATGCTCTTCTTTGTGAATGGTCTTTACAATATCGATCCCTCTTTTGGTACTGGATTATTTTTCTTAATTCATAGAAATTCTTTATATACCCTGGCTGTGGACCATTAGTAAGTTATGTATGCCTTGCAAATACCTTTTCCCACTCTGTGGTTTGCTCTTTCATGATCTTAATGATGTCTTTTGATGACTAGAAGTTCTTAATTTTATGGTAGTCAATTTTATTAAAATTTTCTTTTAAGTTCTTTTTCTACACAGAGGTCATAACGGTATCATATTACATTATTTTCTAAAAGCTTTTTAATTTATCTTTTATATGTATGTCTCCAATTCATCTGTAGTTTATTTCTGTGCATGGTGTGAGGCAAGAGTCAAGTTTAATTTTTTCCCCATGTGGACAACCAGAGCCCTTTACTCAAATGACCACCCCTTCTCCCCTGCTCTTCAGTGCCACCTCTGTCATGTACCAGGTGTCCCTTTATACTTGGGTCTGCTTCTAGGATTTCTACCCTGTTTCATGGATCTATTTTTTCTCTCTTATTACCATCGCTTTGTAATAAATCTTGATAGAGCAAGTCCTATCACTTTCTTCTTTTACAAAAATAGGCTATCCTTGGCCATTTGCATTTCCCTCCTTGTTTCTCTTTTTTTTTTTTTTAA